TACGATTATGTCGGACTACGGTATGTCGGATGAACAACACATTCAAGGAGGAATTTGTGACTAAGTTTAATCCAGATCCTAACTACACTTTCTATGAAAGTGATAATTTGAGTCTGGTTGGTAGAAACTGTCTGGTAAGATGAACATTTTCGTTATCTGCCTTCAACTGTGCACGTCCTATTATATCGAAGCCCTTGTTACAACAAATAATTCTTTTCATTCCTTGAAATCCACAATACATCAGGTTTTCTTTGTACGTGTATTTGTACCTGAATTAAAAAATCGTTGTGTTGAGGTTTCTGTCGATCATCAATGTCAAAATCATCTTATGCATAGCGTTGGAATTACACCAAAGAAAATTCGATGGCACTGTGAAAAGAATTAACATATGCACTACAGGAATCCGCAAAAATGTTCTATACAAGAACATGAGATAAGATGCAGAGGCAAATATCCTTCTACAACATGCAGTTTCAGTGAAGATGGCTCTACTTCGAACCCATGTCTCAAGAAGGACATTGTGATTTTCAAATTGTAATACCAACAAATCGTCGTAATATTGAAAAATGCTTCAGGGGGTAAATGTAGTACAATCAAATGTTCCTGTCAAATGAATTTTAAAAAAGTATCTTCTTCTGCGTAGTTCACCAGAGAGTCCAACGTCACTTCCTCACATCCTGAACCATTACCATCACCAAAGACAGGTAATACTTTATAGTGTTCAGTCTGGTTTCATATTCCATCCCAGGTATGCATCAGAGAACGAAAATGCTACCTGGATATTGCAGTGAAATTTCACAGGATATGTATTATTATAATATTGTTTCCTGCTGTGGTGGGGTCCAGAGTGTTTTGTAGACTCGAGGGGGTAAATCGACGAAGGTACCGTTTGCCCATCAGTTGTCCAACCCTATAGACTCGTCACATAGCAGGCAACAATAATTGTTTCGTGATATTATGATAATATTACTATGTGTATCAATGCAAGGGAACGGTTTAAAGTGAAAATTGTTTGCAGAATCATACATTGCATTGGCATTGTCTTCGACGACAAATTGTTAAGCTGAAAAGTTCAACTAATTAAATTACTGGTAAAGGAGGAACCGTCTGTTTTTTTTAGATTTTCGAATAAATCTGCCGGTGTAAGCTGTCCAATTCTGTCTCTATTAACATTTCAAACTGTGGGTCTCTTCCTATTGCGTTGCAGAGCTTGTAAGTTATTCGGGTGGAACATAGTCCCATATGTTTCTCTGTCTTGATGGTGCCCCATTGAAAAGTCCAATTTCTGATCCCTTCTTTGTGACTACCATCTTTGGAGGCGACCAGTTGTCATCTGCCGACCTTATTACCGTGAAATTAGGGCAAATTTACGCAGCTAAAAAAAAATACGAACAGATCAGTGACGAATGTCATAAATAACATTGCCGGTCGAAGCAGATACAATTTACGTAGCACCATTGTAGCTTCAACCTCGTACCTAAGGTCATGCTACCATAATACAACGTGGTACAATGTGCCCCGTGAGTTACGCGAATCAGGTACCATGGCGGTGTACATCGCTTGTGTATTTCTGACCCGTGAACATGTGTTTTCGTGGAAATTTGAAATGCCCGTTTCCAAATCTTTCTTTGCTTT